GCAAGCCTGCAGAGTCCGGCCAATGGGCGCAGATGCATCCCCGGCTTCATTCCGTTCCCCCGGGGAACCCAGGCTCTCGCAGCCACTGCCGGCAGTCGGCAGTAAAGGGGGGAGGCTCCCGGCTGGCAAACGGATGTAGCAGGCGCCTGATTGCTCTCCGATTTCAAGGTAGAAAGCGCAGCTGCTTGAAAGTGTAGTTAAAGGCAGGCTGCCGAGGGGAGGTGGGCCAGGCCTGCCTCTTGCCCTGCGGCTCAGGCTCAGGGGGCAGCCCGCGAAGCACTTGCGCCTCCCTGGGGGAGAGTGTGGCATCTGAGCTGCCTGGCCGGAGGCGTGCTCACCTGCAGGTCCCGGAGGCTGGATGAGAGGGCCGCCTGGGGCGGGGCCAGGGCACAACCAGCCAATGGGGAAAGGGCATTCAATCGACTGCTACATTTGCCCTGGAAAGTGGAGGGAGCGGGAGCCGGGGGAAAGTTTGAAGCTTCTAAGCATTGGAAGGCCTTGGTGGGGGCCGGAATCACCCAGGGACAGCTTGGGGCACAGGGTCAGGACGTAGGGGCTAGAAGATGCAGGCCCGGGCCGCCTCTGCCGGGAGCGTCAGGCCGCGCCCCTACTGCCTCGCCTTTCCTGGGCTCACTGGCCCACCCTCCCGCGGTTGTTGGCTGGACAGCGCCCCCTGCGGGAAATTAGCTCCCATGACCTGTGTGCCGAGGCCCAGGCTCTGGGAGACTGCAACCTCCTGGGCTTCCCAGCCCTCCGAGGTGCCTGGAGGAAGGGGAATGAGCTCACTAGCCTTAGATACCATAGCTTTGGAGCCGCAGGCAATGACATCTTTAAAAATACATGATGGGGTCAGAAAGACCTATGTTCGTGAGAATTACTTTTTGTCCTGGTCCCCCCCTCCGGGCCTGACCTTTCTATCACTCAGTCCCACTCAGGAATGAAGAAATAGTCATGAGGCATGGGGGGCAGCAGCAAAGGGCAGGAGTTCAGGAGTCCTTGCAACATCTGGTGACCACAGACACTGGCATAGGAATCAGCTGCCTTCTGTGTTATGAGGTCAAAAAGCTATGGTAGCCCTCCAAGTATGGGTTGTCCTCCCTGCCCTCTTGCCTGCCCTGGCATAAGGCTGCAATCCCCATGATTAGGTACCGGACTCATTCATTCTTTCAATAAACATTTATTGAGCACCTACTGTGTGCCAGGCACTGTGCTAGGCGCCGGGGATACATCAGTGACTAACACACAGTCCCTGTCCTTGAGGAGCTCACAGTCTGTTGCAGGGGGAACACATAAACATGTAACTAAACACCTACCTTGTGCTAAGTGCTACAGTAAGAGGTATATACAAAGTGCTGTGAGAGCCCAGAAGAGGGAGTAATACATCAACTGCTGAGGGTGAGGAGCAAGTCTCTTGACTCTGTTAAACCATCACAAAGGCAGGGATGTTGCCACACAACCCTGGTTAAAAAGAAACCTGTCTCCTGAGGTTCTCCTCTAGCCCTCTCCCATAACTATATCAGCACAGGTTAGTTTATCATATCAGGTAATTTAACACTTTGAGTTAGGAAAGAAACTGGACAGGGAAGTTTCTTTAGGGGGAGAGTACGTTCAAGGTAGTAACAACTCTTAGGTGTGGAGGCTGGGTGTTGGGGGGTGGCGCACACGAGGGCACTGAGCCAGGGAGTGCAGGCCCTGGGCAGTGGAGCACCTGGGGTGAGTGCCTGTGCAAAGGGAAGGTCTGTGTCACCTACCTCAGAGTTTGGTCCCCATCACTCACCAGCTCAATCAGTAACCATTTGCTGATGCTCACTAGATGCTTCATTTGTAGTGTGCCCTGCTCTGTGGGTGATACAGTTCCCTGCCCCTCAGAAAGTAACCCACTAATTGGGAGAGACTAAATAAGTCCAGGTCATTGAAGATTTAAGTAACAATTTGGGATTATAACAGAGGAGATGTCACAGGCTGTTTGTGATCATTTGCCAAAAGAGTGGCAATAGCTTACAAGTTTCGAATAAAGAGCTCTGGAAAGGCAGCTTCTGCCAACTGAGTCTTGAAGGATGGATAGTATTCAGTTGGTACTAGTGGGGTGGGAGGAACATTCTAGTTGAGCAGAACCAAGTAAAGCAGGAGCACAGAAGTGGAAAACTTAAACAGAGGCTTGTTTAAAGGCCAGTGAGTGCGTTGGTTTGGCTGGAGCAATACCCTGGGGGTGGGGCAGCAACATGAAAGATGACTGGGGAAGCCCAGTGGGACCCAATGGCAGAGGACCTTGCTGGAGGGTCAGGAACTTGGGCACTTGTCTGAAGACAGGGCTGATGCTAAGCTCAACATACTTTTGGAACTACTGCCCTGAGCCCTAAAGTGCCCCCCTCACCTCTTCTCCAGGACTCCTGGACTGCCCCGATTCAGCAAATAAAGGGTTAATGCCCAGCTGCCTGGAGGTTATTTTGAGTATCCCCCTACCTGTAGGCAGTGAGGAGCCTCTGAAGGCTTTTTAGCAGGTCAGAATTGGTGCCCTGGCAGAGGGAACAAGACAGGTCACAGTGGGGCTCTGGATGTGTCTGGGAACAGGATAAGCTCTGGTAGTTTGAAGCTCTGGGAATGTGGAAGAAAGGCTAGATTTGAGAGACATGGCAAATGGCACTGGACTTCAGGAGCTGGGTCAAGTGAAGGCAGCCATCAGATGGCTCTGAAATGTTGAGCTTAGAAGATCAGGAAAATGGTGCCACCATTAATAGAAATAGACAAGTCATGACAGCTTTTTTTTTTTTCTTAGAAAGTGTGTGTGTGTGTGTAAACTTTGAAAATCAACTTTTGGGAGAAGGGCTGTCTTTGAGGGCCCAGCAGGCTTCTAGGTGGAAATGTCCAGCACACCCCTGGCCATGTGAGCCTGGAGCTGAGGAGAAAAGTGGGGGCTGCAACCCTAAATTTCACACTCATCCCCGAAGAACTGAGCCAGACCCAGGAGGGTGGATGAGACCCTTGGGTGATATCCACACTGAAAGTGGTAGATTGGGAGCCAGCATGGCACAGAGAACAGGCAATGGAGGGTGCAGTTAAGCCCAGCTAGTGTGGGAGGTGATGGGAAGTAGTGTCACATGCTGTGAGGGCTCATGGGGGCCAAGAACTTTGAAGACATTTGATGTCACCATGAAGATATCAGTGACCTTCAGGTGACGAGTTCTGTGGAGTTGGGGTAAGGGGGAGAGGGCCACCCCTAACCCGTGCAGCATCTTTATGCAAAAAAAAAAAAAAAAAAAAAAAATTAAAGGGGACTTCTTCAAGATGCTTTACTTTCTACCACCAGGAAAGTTTCTTAATAAACTGATTTATTAGAAAAAGACACTTTAATGCCAAGTGCTGGAGACATGTAATAAATACACCTGCACAACTGTATGTGGTTTCCTCCCAAGGAAAAAACAAGACAGTGGGAGAAGATGATAGTAGGCTTGGCAGTGACCAAAAGGAGAAAGAGAAGAGCGACCTGGGGAGGTAGATCAAGTGGACAGTTTTGCACCAAGGACATAGCAAAGGTCCTGAGGCACTGATTCACATTAACCAAATTCACCAGATACCATAATTGTTTCTAAGGCTGACATGTCTTAGCTTCTAGCTTTGCCCCTCACACTTGGCAGGAGAGGAGCAAGCTTATTCAGAGAAGGGAGAGGGGAGGAGATCCAGGCTCTAGGTGGAGAAGTTGACTTTGAGAACAAATCGGCTGACCCTTCCTTAGAAAGAGGAAAGAGGGAAGAGGAAAGCAAGAAGCCATATAGAGACAGGAGAAGTGCCACGGGAGCTCACATCTGCTGGCTCCTGTCTCCTTGGTGAAGGAATCAGGGTCAGGTGAAAAAGTTGGCGAAGAGGGGCAACAGTCTGCGTGAATGTTTGCTGTAGCCATGGCCGGGGCGGGGGCGAGTAGGTTGGCAAACTTACGAGGTAAGCAGAAGGCTTGCTGAGCGGCAGGCACACATGAGCAGTAATGGAAGCAGATCCAATCTACATTGCTAAACAACAATCCCCAGCAATTCCTGATGGCAGAAAACTATCAGGAGTGAAATTAATAGAGAGAACCCAGCATTTGGGGTGTAGGCCAGACACAAAGACTGGTCTTACAGCCCTAGCCCTCAGTGCAAACATTCAATTAATTCAGCCCTGCCTGGGGAGTTGGTGGCTGGGTCTATCCCTGGAGGGGCACTCGGCTCCTGGCTAACTCTTCAAGCACAGCCTTCTGCGGTGGTCAAGGTTCCAAGCATGCTGTCAAGCAACTGGTGGGCAATGAGGCCAACTCCAGAAAGAAGGCCTCAGTCTAGGCTGAAGGGCTGCTCCCCAGGGCTGAGTTTACTTTCGTCTCTTCATGCTTTTATCCCACTTTGCCTTCTCCTGTCCCTTAGAAGTGTAGTTGTTTCAACATTGCGCGCGCGCACGCACGCACACACACACACACACACACACACACACACACACACACACACACACACACACACCAATCGAAGCTCTTCTACCCAGGACCGCTCCAGCTCTGTAACATCTCCCAGATCTGGGGATCCAACCTGCACTCCATAGTCTCAGAAGAACTGATCTTGGTTTGTACACAGGGAACTAGAGAATGCTTTTCCTTAAAATAAATCCTCATCTCTGTGGCTGACCCACAGAGAGAAGCATGTTCTTAAAAACCTCACAGCTTCCCCCTCGTCCTCTCCAAAGAAATGAAGATACAGACCCATGAGTATACACAAATAGATACCGAGATATTCACATATGAGATAGTAACTTCCCTGCTGAGGGAACATAGATAGTGAAATACAGCCAGGCAAAAATGGCTCTTCCCATGAAGCCCCTGCACCCGCCCTGGCCACCAACTTCTCAGGAGGCTATCCCTTCATCACCACATCAGCCCATTTCCCTGACAAGAGCACATCCCCTAGTACTCTTGAAGGCCATGGTCCGATGCCAGGGATGCTCAAACTGGGCATGGCTTGACCATGGTGACATCAGGCAGGGGTGGGGGGTGGGGGAGTCTGGTGTATTGACATTCCACTAAAATGTAAAGGCAGGTGAGATACTTAAGTCAGACTTTGCTAGAGGCAGTCCATATGAAAATGATGCTCAGCTTTGCCTGGTGGGTCACACTTCCCTGACCCCTCTATCTATATGTTGTGGGGCTCCATCTTAATGAGGGAAGTGGGATTGAATGGGGAGAAGGGGGCTGGGGTTGAGGATCTAGTCAGTAGGCTCCCAGATGTGGTCACACTAGGCTCAGCCATAATCAGGGACCCTGAGCCTGAGGAGAGCTCAAGTTCAGCCACCGGGGTCAGCCCAACAGTGGGGCGGCTGGGTGGAGAGAAAGTCTGGTTTCCCAGGAGACTCGGATTGTGGGAGCCCCTTGAAACCACATGGGTTGGAAGTGGCTGAAGGTGAGCCTGATCCCTCAGAAGCTCCCTCAGGGTCTCTTCAGGAACCAGCAGCCCCTCCATGGGGGCCCCAGTCACCATGCCCTGCACATATGAGGAGGGTCTCAGTGGCCCGTCCTTGACCCCAGGGGCTGCTGTGGCACCGGAAGTCCTGATGAAGGCAGCAATGACAGTCCCGGGGGCCTGAGAGCTGGGCCCTGCCGCTCCAGCCCCTGTGACGGAGGGTACTGTTGGATTGGTCGAACGGTTGGCCCCAGTCAGAAGTTGGGGGAGGCCACTGAGAATCAGTGGAGTTCCTGGTGCTGCCACCTGGCTCTCTTGGAAACTGGTGTTCAGAGGGAAGGAGGCCTGCAAAGTGAAAGTGTCCTTGAAGGTCGAAGCAGGCGGAACACTCTGGAGAACAAGCTGAGTTGAAGCAGTAGTATTAGCAGGAGGGCCATTGGTTAGCACTGTGGTCAGGGGGATTGTCTGCAGGGTCAAGGCCGAGGCTGACCCCACAGGGGCCACTCCTAGGTGGATGTTGCTGGGCACTGAAGACGCACTGAGAAGAAAGAGAAAACAAATTTGGTTAAGGCAGGAGGCATCTCCCAACTGCCTACAAAGGAGGGTACAGGAGGAAAGGAGCCAAAGGTGTTTTGTTTCTGTGCTTTGGTTTTGGCTGACATTTATTGACTATTTAGTATAGGTCAGAGACACTCAAAATGATTGACATGCCATATTGTCCTCAATCTTCAAAATAGCCCACAAGTTAAATCAGATTAATAATCTGATTGTACAGCTTGAGGAAACTGAAGCATAGAGAGGTTATGTCACTTGCCCTAGATCACACAGCTAGTAGCAGGGACTCACATCTAGGCTTTCTGACTCCACAGCTGGTGTTCCTCACTGCTCTGCTCTCCTGCCTTCTCTCCTTAGAAGAGCATCTTGGGGACCCATGCCAATAGAGTGCGAACTACACACACAAAACCCAGACAAAGCCCAACCTTTTCAGGGAAAATTGGAAGCACTTAGCATGGATGAGAAGTATCAAGAGCTTTCCAGGAGGGCCTTCCAGAGAGGGCCTGAGGACAGCAGAGTGGGTGTCCCTGTAACATTCTCTGTTGCCTCTTTTTTATTTCTCTTATTTTTTTTTAAATCCTCACCTGAGGATGTGTTTTTCTATTGATTTTAGAGAGAGAGGAAGGGGGGGGGGAGAGAGAGAGAAAAAACAATGTGAGAGAGAAACATATATCGGTTGCCCCCAGTATGTGCCCCGACTGGGGATCGATCCTGCAACCTAGGTATGTGCCCTGACTGAGGACCAAACCTGCAACCTTTTGGTGTACGGGGAGGACATCCCAACCTACTGAGCCACCCAGCCCACGGCTGTTGCCTCTTCTTTTAGAGTCCGGGAGGCTAAGAGGAAGAAGCCCAGATGCAGAGGGCCCTGGTGGCTGCTTGGGGAGCCCTCTAAGGTAAAGGGAACAGCCCCAGCAGGCAACGGAAGTCCCCCAGGTCAAGGGCTGGTTTTGCCATTACTTTGGTATGTGACCTCTGGCAAGTTGCTTTTCCCCTCTTGACCAACAAGTGCACTACTGGCTTCCCAGGGATTCATGAGGGTTTCATGAGACTGGAAACACAACCGAGCTTTGCAAGAAGCTGGTAAACTGCCCCCTAACTTGAAGTACTACGGGAAGACTCAAAATGACCTGGGTGCCCTTACCTCACAGCTTTGGTGAGTTTGGCCTGGCCCTCTGGTGGAGAGACAAGCACAGTGGAGGTAGTGGGGATCTCCTCATCTAGAGACAGTCCCAATTCCAGACTTGCAGATGGCTGTAGACCGACCTGCTGAACCTTCGGTTTTTCCCAGGGAGGGCTGCCCTTGCCCTGAGGAGCAGCTCTGGATGAGACCCTGGAGCTGGCTCGCCGGGCAGTGCTGGTGGAGGAGGCGGAGGCCTTAGGGGATGCCTCTGCAACTTCACTTTTCTCATCGTCATCTTCAATCACCACTAGGTCCTTGGGCATCTCTTTAAACTGGTACACCAGCCTCTGCCCTTCCACTTTCGCAAGGATGCCCCTTTGGTAGTAATATCTGGAGGAAAATGGGTGAGGAGTTAGTCAGGGACATACCACCCTCCAGGGCAGGGCAGGCATGAGGCAGAGGCTGGCCAGGAGCCAGATGGGAGCTCAAGGGCAAGGGTGCTGAGTAAGGCCAACTCTTAGACTTGGAAGGCTTTTAGGAAGCATCTGAGACCTCCCTCAGAAGACTCAAAGGGTCCACAAAAAGGAGTTTCAAATGCCAACCACCACCCTGCTTTGGGGCAGAGGGTAAGTAAAGGATGAGAGAAGATGGATGGATGGTGGGGGCTTTAGCAGTCTTGCAGCCTGAGACACCATCAGTGGGTAACTGGCCCATCTCCCTAGGTCTCTGGCTTGAAGAATGTGAACAAAGGCCTTCTTGGGGATGGGAGGCCCTAAAATGCTCTCCTTGTGTCAAAAGAGAGAAAGCTAGGACAGAGCTGCAAGAGGGAGGAAAGTGTTTCTTCCATAGAGGGCCTGTGGAATGGGCTTAGAGGCAAGCAAATGGGAACATTTGGAGGCCCTACAGCAGGAGGGCCTCCTTGCACATAATGAAGAGCTTGATGACTTGCCCAGGACAGGGACCCCAGAAGCTCCTACCTTAGTGCCCTCCCCATAGTCTCATAGTTCATGTCAGGTTTGTTTTTCTGCTTCCCCCACAGCTTGGACACAGCTTTGGAGTCCACCAGCTTGAAGATGCCTTTCTCTCGTTGGGTCCACTTGATGTATTTGGGGCAGGTGTTCCTGTCTTGCAGAAGTGCCAGGAGGAACTCCCACAGATAGATGGTGTTGCCTGAAGGGGGGCAGGAAGTGAGGGGCAGTGCAGGTACCTCAGCTCCCTTCCCACCTCACCTGACTCCCAGCCATACCTTTGCCATCCTTAGACTTCTTCCGTATGGGAATACTGGGGTCAGTGACAGGTGAGGTACTGCGATTGCCCTTTGTCTTCCGGACTGTGAGGAAAAGGTGAGAGAAGAATGAGGCTGAGACCATGGCAAACATTGCAGGCCAGGCTCCCAATAGGCAGGGCCTGAAGCTTATCAAGTTGGGTACAACAAGGCAAACAAGAAAGAGCCCAGGATCATTCTCCTTGGCCATTGTCCTTAGGTACATGCACCTGCCCAATGGTCTGCCCTAATTTTCAGGCCCCAAAGATATACCAGGATACCACGACTATGTGGGGCTATGTGGAGCTATGTGGTGCTTGCACCTGAGTCATCTGTAGATCAGAATCTGCCTAATCTAATTTTTGAAATGAAAAGGCAGCCTAAAGTTACCTGTGTGCAGGTAAGTGTGAAACTGGGGTTTTGCTTGCCACGCTGACAAGGCAGTATCAGCCAGCCATCCTCCAAGTAAATTAGTAACAGTGGGGATTGGGAAAGCCCAAAGTCCTCTCCCATATATGGCCTCGGCTCCATAAGTTCCCAGAAGGAAGATAAGCACACAAAGCACACAGCAGAGGCCCCCAGGGGGCCAGGGACTAGCCAGGGGGCTGAGCCTGGTGTCTGAATACCCAGCCTAGGATTCAACCCATTTGGATCATTGACACTTCTGGAAGAGTTTCCATCAACGCTGGGCAGACAGGAGTGACCTGGGAAATGTCAGGCTTTAGACAGGCCAACCGATGAAGCCAGGTTTTACCAAAGGAAGGCTTTTTCCTCCATCTTTGCCCTACCAGAGAGCTGTCCTCTTGATGTGCCTGTGAGCCTCCACCCACTCACAGCTATGGCCTCCCTGACTGCCCCTCTCCTACCACCCATCCCCTTGAACACACACACACACACACACACACACACACACACACACACACACACTTCCCTCCCTGCTCCTTTCTCTTACTTCTTTTCTTTGATTTTCCAGTCTTCTTGGCGCTTTCCTCTCTGGAGACCTTCTCCTCCAGAGAATGCCCCTCCTGGTCACCAGTGTCTTCAGCCCTGTTCAGGGCATTGGGCTCAGAGACAGGAAACAGGTAGTTGGGCAGATGGGTGGCTGGAGCAGGGTCTGAGTCTGGAAGAATCTCGGAGGTGCTGACTACAAAAGAAAGGCCTGAGGTGGCTGGTGCCCAGTGCAGGGTGGGAGCATGGCCTCCCAGTGCTCTGGAGACTCGTGGGTTCCCAAGGAGGGCAGAGGTGCTGTTCCCCCTCAGGCCCAGACACAGCATACACCTGAAAATGCCTCATGCGTCTCACACCATGAGGAGAGGAAACATCTGCAGAGCTGTGCGCATGAGCTGGCCCCAATCACTGCTGCCACATTTCGAGCCCACTGCTGATAGTGGGGGAAGTTGCAGGTGACACCCAAGGTAAAGGGCAACCTTGATTTAGTCATTCACTCATTTTTACAACTGGAAGGGGCCTTAGAAATTATTTAGCCCAATTCCTCTGTTTTCCTGATGAGGTAACTGAGACCCAGGGATGACAGGTTATGTGCCCAAAGGTCACACACAGCAAGTTGGTGCTTGGCACATGTAGACACTCAGTAGATATCTGTTGAATCCTGAATAAATATTAGTGATGGAGTTGGGATTAGAAATGCTAGGGCTCTTAACTTGCAGCTTCAAGACTTTCCTTCCTGCACTGTATCCCAGCACCCCCTTGGGAGGGACAGTTGGGGTCAGGCATTCTCCTGTGGAGTCAGGGCAAATGTCTGAGGGGGTTCTGCAGGAGAAGCCTGCCTTGGGGGCTTTCTGGGAAGGGAGGGCCAACCTCTAAGAACAAGAAAGGGATGAGGAGTTACCAAACCTGGTATATTTTAAAATAAGCCACACCCTGCATAGTCCTTGGGAGCCCAGGAGGACTTTTTAGGCCCTGGGAGAGAGGCCTAAAATGTCACCCTGGCCAATATTCAACCTTCAAAAGCAAGTAGACCCTGACACATGCTACAACATGGATGGACCTTGAGGACATTATGCTCAGTGAAATAAAGCAGTCTCCAAATGACAAATACCGTATGATTCCACTTATATGCAGTAGTCAAATTCATAGACACAAAGTAGAATGGGGTTGCCAGGAGCTGAAGGGAAGGGGAAATAGGAACTTGTTTAATGGGTAGAAAGTTTCAGTTTTGCAAGACTAAAAGAGTTCTGAAGATGGATGATGATGAGGGCTGTACAACAATACAAATGAACCTCATACCACTGAGCTGTACACTGGAACTGGTAAAGGTGGTCAATTGTATATGTATTTTGCCACAGTTTAAAAATTGGGGCCCTGGCCAGCAAGTTCAGTTGGTTAGAGCATCATCCCAATACTGCAAGGTTGCGAGTTCAATCCCAGTCAGGGCACGTGCAAGAATCAACCAATGAGTGCATCAGTAAGTGGGTCAAGTCGGTATTTCCCTCTCCTTTCCTCCCCTTTCTAAAATCAGTTTTCAAAATTTGGAATAAAAAGTCACCCTGGACACCTTTTCCTTGTCTGTGGTGCCCTTTAGCCCCTTCCCATTCCAGTCACAGCTCAAAAGCATGTCAGTGAGTGTGGGTACAGATGCCTGCATGCATGAGTGCCTGAGAAGCCAATACATGGATATGATCTTTTTAAATGGTGTTTTGTGTTGCCTCGAGTTAGGGCACTGGGGTTCACACTTACAAATCTGCTTCTCATCCAGGATGTTGTTGGGAGACTCAACATTGAGCAAGACTTCAGTGGTTGACATGGTTTGCGAGGTTGCTTCATTTTCATCTGGTTCCAGTTCCATGGTAGAGGGGAGAAGAAAAGTTCTCTTAGGGCACAGGGTAGGGGGTACAGCCATAACCAGGGCCAACCCAGGGAATAGTGCTAAGGGGCCAAAGGACAGCCGGGAAGGGGCCAGTGGACCTCCCACATTCTCCATACACCCACTCCACTTATCTCCACTCCTCATTGTCCCCCTCCATCTTAAAAGATCATGAATCCATTTAGATGGCTTCCTCCTCTACGAAGTGATACTACCTCTTGTTTGTCCCAGCCGCCCCATCTAATTTCCAACTGTTGTGGACCTTGCCTTTGCTGCATGTGTCACTATAGGCCGCTGTGTGTGGGCTGCTGTTCCCTGAAGACAGGCCCCTTTCTCCTCCACACCTTCCCTGCCCAGGAAGGGGACAGACCTGTCAGCATAAAACTACCCTCCAGGATCTGATCCTCTGTCATGCACAAGGTCCTGTCCGTTATGATGCCATTGTGAACGTCGTCCAGCTCTAGTCCTGAATACAGATGCAGTAGTTCGGGGTAGGGTACTTGCTCCACAATCACAGCTGGGAATACTGAGGGGTCTTCCAGCTGTGGAGAAGAGAGGGATCTGATTCAAGACCCACCTGCCTCTTTCAGGGCGCCCTCCCTACTGGAAGCTGGCCCTTCCTGCAATTCCTAATTCTTAGAACCCTCAGAAGCTGTCCTTTGTATGAGATGACATTGCTCTGGGTCCATCCTCATTAGGTGATTCTTTGAGCGAATTTTTAATTTATAGAGATGGGTTATCTCTGTACCACCTGCATTCAACCCAGGGAAGACAGTTTTAATTGGTTGTAGTTATGGGTTAATCCATGGCCGGGGTTGGTGTTCAGTCTATGGAAAGGGCTAGGACCATTCTGAGACCTGTGGGAAAGGACTAGTCAATAGTAAAGGTGAGGGGCTCAGGCTACAGTAAGGGTTGGGGCTCAGATTGTGAACATCTTAAGGCTCAGTCTTTGGCAATGAAGATGGAAGAATGGGCATTATAGAGGTAGAAACGTAAGTGCCCAGTCATTGCCTGGATGAGGAAAGAGTATTCCAATTTCCAGTTTGATTCAATGAGTGAATGAGGACACTGTTCATGTTAAGGGAGAACCCAAGAGGAGGAGGAGGAACAAGTTTTTGGAGAACAAGTTAAGGGGGACAGTGTCTGGATATGGTGAGTTTGAGGTACCCTAAAGACATTTAAGATAGGGATACCTCTCAGGGAGTCAAAAATACGTGTCCAAGAGCTCAACAGGGTGGTCATTAAATCCCTTGAAATGGGAAAGATGATCAGGATGAGAATTCCACCCCTGGAGGACATGGTTGCTTTAAAACCAGCAAAGCTAAATAAAAAAGGAATGTGACTACAAGTTTGTTTTTTAATTATGTATAGCCCTGACTGGTGTGGCTCTAGTTAGTTGGGTGTCGTTCTGCAAACCAAAAGGTCACCGGTTTGATTCCTGGTCAGGGCAATTGCCTAGGTTGCAGGTTCGGTCTCTTGTCAGGGCATGTTCTCACATCGCTTTTTCTCTCCCTTTGTTTCTCCCTCCCTTCCACCCTCTCTAAAAATAAATAATAAAATTTATAAATATATATTCTGTATAGAAGGAAATATACCAGAATGTTCATAATGATTATATCTAAGTTGTGGTACTTTGGGTGATTTTCCCCCTTTCTTTCTAGTTTTCTGTGTTTTTTAAATTTTCTTTCATGGGATTGTTAAGTTTTTTCTTCATGGAAAAAGAATGAGAATGCTCAGTTCTGCCTAGTGTTCCTGAAGGATCCAGAAGAGTAAATATTAATATATACCTTTGGGTTTGGCCAATGGGCAGTCACCCTGGCTAGACCAGTTTCAGGGGAATGCTGGAGTCCCAAGGCACATTAAAATGGATTGCAGACAGGACAGACAGAGGCAGACTGTCAGGTGTAGTGATTAAGGCCATAAAGTTAAGAGCTGTCTGTCCAATATGGTAGCCACCAGCCACAGGTGACTATTTAAATATAAATGCAATTTTTTTCAAGATTAAAAATCAGTTCTTCAGTTGTGCTAGCCATAGGTCAAGTGCTCCAAAGCCACATGCAACTAGTAGCCCCATACTGGATAAGGCTAATATAGAACACTGTTAGCATCTCAGTATATTCTACTGGATTGTGCTGACATAGAACCAGAGTGCCTGGGTTTGAAACCAAGCTCTACTACTTACTGGCAGTGTGATCTTGAGCAAGTTACCTAACCTTTTGATACACTGGTTTCCTCATTTTAAAATTGCGGTGATCATATTATTGACCTCATAGGTTGTTTAATTGGATCAGTATATATAAAGCAATTAGAACAGGACCTGGCACAGAGTAGGTTCTCATTGTTTTAGGTATCAGGGGCTTCTAGGAGACAGGTAACATTTTATTTCTGGATCTGGGTGGCGAGTTCATGGGTGTTCTTTCTTTTTTTTTTAATCCTCACCCGAGGACATTTTTTTTCATTGCTTTTAGAGAGGCGGGGGGGGGAGAGAGAGAGAGAGAGAGAGAGAGAGAGAGAGAGAGAGAGAGAGAGAGAGAGAGAGAGAAACGTCAATGTGTGAGAGAAGCACTGACTGGTTGTCACTCGTATGCACTAGGACTGGGGATCTTACCCGCCCGGACTGGGGATCATATGCGCCTGGACAGGGGATTGAACCCACAGCCAGTCTGGGCCATGGGTGTTCATTTTATAGTTATTTTTAAAATATATATCTATATGCATATATGTGTGATTTATACACTCTTTTGTATTCATGATACAATTTTTTTCAATGAAAATTGTTTCCTAAAAAGAGTGAGAGAAAGGAGGTGAGAGGGTAAACACAGAAGGTGGAGCCTAGGTTGGAGAGAAGAAAGGCACTAGGAAGGTGGTATGTTGAAGGAGGTGGGTGGAAGAGAGGGAAGGTTTTCTTTCATGGTTGGGAAGACCCGGTGATGTTCAAGGTTGAGAAGAAAGGTCTGGGAGGTCTGAAAGATATAAGGGAAGGAGAGGAGGTGATCGATGGTTTGAGGTCTTCAAGGAAGCAGGAGAGAAGAGATTAGGTACAGGGGCAGGAATTACCTTTGGAAGGAACAGGGATACTTCTTTCTCCCAGGCCAGCAGAAAGAAAATAAGAACAGTGATGTTATCAATAAAAGGGAGGAGGGAGGATAACTGAGGGCTTCCTTGGCTTTGAGCTTCTCTGTGGATTGGAGGAGAGGCTGTCTGCTGAGGGTGAAAGGACACGTGTGGGTTTGGAAGGTATGGGCTTGGGAGCTTCTATGAACAGCCTCTATGAAGAACAGAAACATTTGCTGAGCAGACTAGAACAAGTAAAAAATGACTATTTAGAACCCAGGTAAGTTTAAATTTTCTTGCTTTCTTCTCCCATAATGCTTTCCATAAGGTTAGGCACCCCAGAGCTGTTCAATAAAACTGAGTAACTTTAAGTAAGACCTGGCGGGACAGAAAGCACATGTGCTCAAAGCCCACTAGGGGGCAGCCTTTCGTTGTCCGCTAGGGATTGGACAAAGTTTTCTGTCTTCACAAGGATTTAGGATAGAGTGTCAGAGTTAGACTGAGGTACCCTTACAGATAATCTAGCTGGATTTCCTCTTGGTGAAGATGGAGAGATGGCAGCCAGATAGGGTAGGGATCAGAACTTGCCTAGATGACACTGTGGCCAAACAGGGACCAGACCCCAGGACCGTTGACTCTTAATCTTCCATTCCGTCTACTGTACCTGGCTGCCTCTTCTTCATTTTGTGGCAAGAGGGGAGTGGGGGGTGTGGATGAGTGGGCCAGGACACTATCCTAAGATAGTGCATGAAAAACGTTCTCTCTTAGCCCCAGTGCTGGGCAAGGTATAGAGTGGTGGGGACCCAAGTGCCAGAAGCCTGTCCTATTTTCCAACTTCCTCCCACCAGAAGACTCCATTTCAAATTATCCTGAATTTCAGATCAAGGTGGTTTTGTAGGGGTTCATCAACCAGGCTAGAGACATGGGTCTGAAGATGCCAGGGGTTGGACTCTGCCCTGCGATTCCAGCTGGCAGTGCTCACTTTTGCTACGTGGTTGTCCCAGCAGCTTTCTCACTGTGACACTAGAAATGAAGGGAAGTGGCTGAAAATGCATAGGAAGGTCAGTGCACAACTGAGCATTCAGCCCACGTTGCTGCCTGTCCAACAGCTCAGCTGGTCTACTTAGCAGCTGCTTGGCTGACTTAGTGACTGCACGTGCCCTGTAATTGCACGTGGGCAACTGGCTCACTAAATGACCGCCCGATGATTACTGACTGGCTGCATGAGTGACTAGTTGGCACACAGTCTGGCTGGCAAGCAAGCCCAGTGCCCTGAACCTAGTAGGTGCTTGATCAATATTTGCTGACTGGCTAGCCGGCCAGCCGGCTGGCTTACTGGCTGTCTGCCTGCCTGCCTGTCTGTGTCTATCTGATCGTCGCACTGGCTGACTGGGCTCCATTCTCTGGGGCTGTACCTGGTGTATATCATCCATTCCGTTGCTTGCAAACTCAAAGATCAGGTCACTGGGCTGCAGGGTAATAGCCATGCTGTCTTCTCAGAGCTGACAGCAGGATTCACAGGGCTCCCTGGAGCTGTGGGCTTTTCTTGATGAAGAGATGCTGTTCAGGGACCTTGGAGATAGAACCTACACCCCAAGCCACAGGAGAATAGGGGGTGTAGAGAGCTGGAGTAGGTGGTGGTCTAAGCCAGGTTCAAGGTTGCATGCTGGGCTGGGCCAACCGCAGGAGTGACCTAGAGAGAAGGGAGACATGGGGGCACTGAGTAAGTTACCTTCCTTGAGCTCTGTTCCCAGGGAAGCTGGCAAACCACAGGGACCCTGCCACCACAGGGCAGGCTGCCAGAGGAGGAAAGGTTAAAAGGGGAGGGCAATGAGAGAAGAACGGGAAAGGAGAGGAAAGGAGCCAGGTAAAGAAAGAGGGGGAAAAGGAAGTTAAGTGAGTCATCTCCAGTGGGCAGTGGCCAAGCCTCAGTGCCAGTCTGTCACCAGAATTTGCACCTGAGCTGGCCCTGAAGATATGTAACCTCCCACCCTTCCCTCCCCGGCTCCTCTGGAGAAGGTGACAGATAGAAGGACTTTGGTCTCTCCACCCAGAACATTAGTCTCCTGGGTGTGGCCACAGGGAAAATCAGGGCCTCATGGATGGAGCAATAGCATGAAAAAGCCCTAAAATTCCCTTGGCTTGGGGAAGGATCCTGTGTGAGGGGTGTGGGTGGGGACACATGGGTATAAAGGGTGCTCTTTTAGACTCTCCTTGGCTCAGTTTACCTTGGGAGTGGGAGTAACTTAGCTGTGAAGGGCGGAGTCTACAGAGGAAGAAATGTCTTGCTGTGTGAGGCTTGTGTTGTTAGCCTGACCCTGCTTGTGGGGATGAGATTCTCAGACATGGCCACGCCTTCAAAGAGCCTGGAGACAGGGCCAGGTGGGCCACAAGCTCTGTGTGCTCACAAGCACCACCACTGCCACTGGCTGGAGAGGATGGCCTCCATGCCGGTTGTGGGTTTGTGTTCTTGGTTCAGCTTTGCTTTCAGTTTCAAGACTGAACTGTCACCCTGGGAACTTGAGAGGAGAGCCCTGACTGGGGGAGGGGCCCAAGGAACCTTGCCCATCCTCCAGGGCCCTTTCAGGGGCCCTCCTTTTCCAGGAAATCTGTCTGCTGTAGCCCACACGTCTCTCCTCTCCCTGAATGCCTCTCATGCTCACAGTCTGTACCTCAGGCATTCACATGGCACCCAGGCCTCCAATTGTTTCCTGTGCTTGCTATGTTTGTACGTGATGTCTGCGGTCCCACCCAGGCCTGCCTCCGAAAGCCCTAACTCCTGCTCCCATGACTGTACTGCCAGTCTTCTCTGCTCCTCCAGTCCTGAACAGTTGGGCTTCTTCAATTCCAGGTGTCTTTGGCCCTTAGTGTTCTGTTTTCAGTTATATTGTGTGTGTGTGTGTGCGCGCGCGCGCACGCGCATGTGCACACGCACACGCGTGCTGGGTCTACAGACATATGAGCATCTGAAGAACTGGGGCCAAGCACCACAGTGGGAGCAATATAATTGACCCCTACGTCCTCAACACTCCTTTGACAGTGACAAGGGTGGCAAAACCTTCTCCTGGCCGGAAAGAAATGAGGAACTTCAGAGAGGGGCAAAGCAGAGGAAAGGGAGGGGGACCACGGGTGACCTCTCTGATGACCGCTCTCCCCCACAGGAGACACCCAAGCCTCTCCCACTTCCTTTCCGTTAGCCCACAGGGCTGGCTCCGCCCTCTCCCCACCCCCATTCTCATCTCCATACTTTTCCACCCACCCCCCAAGAAAACTTTGAGAAGTCACTCAACTCATCCTCTCAGGTCTGAGTTTCCCTTTGGGTGAATGAGAGACTGATGCCTGCTAGGACAGAGAGGAAGCACTGGCAAAACCGTGGTCCTTGCCTGAGCTCCACCCCGCCCCCACTCCCACCTGACCCTGCATGTGACCCGGTCTCCTGTGCCCTGAGAAGCCTCCTAAGGCCATTTATGCTTGGAAGGTCTGTCTCCCCCAGCCAAAGTGCCCCGAGGCCCACATTCCACAGCTACAGCCCTCCCACAGGCCCACAGGCAGGCTGTCTGCCCCTAGGAAGCATTCTCAAACTAATCAAACAAAAGACTATCACTTTCACCTAATCCCACTTTGTCTAAACATGAAACTTCTGAAACTCCAGTGTCTGCTACCTCTCCCCTAAGAGCCTTGGGCCTTTCTGCCATGTGCCTTCCCCTCAGGTTTGCTCATCTCTTTGGCTTCTCTTCACAGATCAGCATTTCACGTTTGCGAGTTCACTGCCTATGAGCCCAGCCTGTGAAACTTCTTTGCACCTTCCTCACCTTCTCCATTTGACAGTGGCTTCCTTGAGGACAGGGATGGCTGTGTTGGTCATTGATGAAACTTTAGCACATTGTACTATGCTTGGCATGTAGCAGACACTCAATTTCTGTTTGCAGAATGAACGTATGAATGAATGAATGGTACTAGTCATTCAGTACAAGTGAGGTGTTTTCTAGGCACTAAGTATATTCATATGTACACTGGGTGTGGGCTGGGTGTCATGTACTCTGGCTTATACGAGAATGAGAGGAATGTATGCACTGTGTATGTGTAACATCTGTGTATTTTTGCATTGTCACTTACAGTGGGAATTTGCTGTGTGTGTGTGGGTGTCGTATACTCTGGCTTATACAAGAATGAGAGGAATGTATGCACTCTGTGTGTGTAACATCCGTATATTTTTGCATTGTCATTTACAATGGGAATTTGCTGCATGTGTGTGCAAGCACATCATAGATATATCTGTGTGCAGGGCATACCAATGTGTCCCAAGAGTGGGGACATGTGTGTGAGAGCCTCTGTGTATCAAAGAGCTGTCCCGGTGAGGCCATCAGGGCAGCAAACTCAATCCTAAGTTTACCCCCCAACTCATGCCAGCTCAAAGAAACTGCGGTGAAGCGGGGGGTGGCGCTGCCACTGTCACCGCCTCCCTCAAAAATGCAAAGACCTATGCTTCCCAGGGAGAGAATGCCTGCAGAATCCATATGTGGCCCCCAAAGTCCACTCTGCTAGAGAGGTAGTGGGAGGCGGAGGCAGCACACACTATATTGAATGGAACAGTTGGCTATCAACACAAGGAGGAGAGTTTTGAAATAAAAGAAAGAGACTAATCCACCTGCATTCTTAAGTATCTACACGTCTAAGTCTCTAAATTAAGGACTAGGTTGGTGCAGGTCTCATTGGCCCAGGACTGTGAGTATTGGGAGGCTGTACCCAGCAGCCACAGCTGATCCTGCTGTCTTATTCTGCCCAAGTGTGAGCCCGAAGTTAAGGTGAGGGGGAAGAGCGGGGCACGTAGTTGTCCCATTTGTCCTATTCTGTTGACTGAGGCTAAGAAAACTCTTCCCCCAACCCTACCATGGAAACTTCCAGTCCAGAAAGTTTCATCCCTCCCCTGTCAGATGTTTGAGGATTTGAAAGTGAGAGGTGGAGAAGAGGCTCATTTGCATGCTAACCCACTCTCTCCAGCAGAGGAGTGAACAACCTCCCCAAGTCCCTCAAAATAACCTCCCTCTCCCAGGAACCTAAAACCAAAGAAGCTACCACCACAGATGGCCTGCCCTGCTGGAGGCCAGAGAAGCCCACACCAGGGGCTACCCTCACTGGTGTCTTTAGAGACTCACTGGGATGCCCTTAGAGACTCGATGGCCTAGAGCCCTGGACACTGTCTTGCCAGCGAGTAGGGGGATCTAGGGGGTATACACAGACACTTAGCTCAAGGAATTGAGGTGCCTGGGAAACCTTAGTAACTGGTGGTAAATTCCTGTCTCCCTGCCCCACCCCATCACTGCACCAGTCAAAGTCCACCCCCTTTACTCCGTTGGAGGCCACTGCAGTCCTGAAAGTGAAGCCTCTGTGAAAGCATATGGCCCCCTGGACACTGTATGCGCACGTGCATGTACCACAGGAGGGAGCAAGCAAGTGAGGGCGCCTAACACTCAGGCCTGCAAATGCACACCTCTGGCTCTCTGTGGTTCTGACTGCATTTCAAAACCAAAATAGCAAAATAGAAGTGGTTTGGGCTGCCCTGCGTCACCACAGCTGGGTGGTGGTGCAGACGTAAAGACCCTTTCTGGGGCTGTCACTGGAACACGTCAAGCAGTGTTCAGCACCCACCCATCTGGGCCTCCTCTACAGGAAACAGCCCCTATGTGAAAGCCACGTCCACAGTCTCTGTGGTGTGAGTTTAAATCTACACCCGTTCAGCTGAGCCAATGGCTCTCACCGAATTGCTAGTAACACCCGTGGCATTTTTACACATGCCAGGAAACATGGGGTCCAGATGGTCAGCTGGGCCACAAAGCAGAGTTCTCTTCCAGTTCCTTGTCCCCTCTGAGCCAGCTCTTACTCCTAAAATACCCGGTCCCCCATGAAACCTTTCTGGAATTCTCTGGAAAGGAAGTGACAATTTCCTTCATGCCATTTCCCACTCCCTCAACACTCCTCCCCCATAACCACAAACAAAATGGAAACTACCCCAGGAACAGCTGTACCCTCCAGTAAAAAACAGCCCCTCCTCCGGCTAATAGTCATCCAGCAACGAATCTGCATGCTGTACCACGTGACCATTGGCATGTATTTAAGAGACAGAAGGCCAGAGTCAGGAATCCAATCTCTAGCCATGGATGGAGCAGAGGCAACCCATCCATAGGATTTCCGCACAGCCTTGACTCTGTATGCCAGCTGAACTCTCCTCCTTGAGCAAATTGCCCAGCAAAGGGGCCTCACCCACAGCTATTTTCTCAGCTCCTTTTCCTCTCTTCCTTTCTTTCCACCACCCCCTCCATTTGAGATGAAATCAGGAAGAGAGAGGGAAAAAAATCAATGTTTTGCAAGCTCTATTGGTTGGGGTTTCTCTGTGCTTCTTTATAAGAAACCAAGTTTCTGTCCTTGATCCTCAGTCATTGCCTGATTCCAGTGTAGAACTTGTCACAACTCAGGTGGTGAGGCAGGCCCACAGCTCTTTTCCAGCTGCTCCCAGCCTTTTCTCAGCTGCAGTTTTGTCCCTATCTTCCTAGGCCCCAAGCTGTCCTAGTGGAGAGAACAGGCCACAGGCAGACGTCTCCTCATCTTTCTCCAGGAGACTCACCAGCATCCCCCCCATCACAGTGTGTGATATATTCTGCCCAGGTTGAGGGAAGAGAGGGGAGCCCTTCCCTG